CCATCTCTGGAGCGGTTACAGGGTTATGCATGTACATTTTGTTTTCGTGGGGAGGGTGTGGGTCTTTTCAAAAAGTTCGTGAAAATCTTCCACAATCCCTTTAAAAGATGGTGCAATCCTTTTTTCAATCTGGACTGTGTTGCTTCCAGATAACCGTCAAAGGAAAAACAATTGTCTGATATCCAATTCTGTTTATCGTAATGATCTAAATGAAGTAACAGTGACAAAAAATCTGAATAAATCTTTAATAGAGAAATAGTCTCTCTGGGATATTTTAGAAGAACTTCAGCTTCTTTAAAAATGTTTTTTCCCCAAAAACAAAACACATAAGGAACAAACAGATATGGAAAAGTTTTTAAAATATTCCATTGGCCTCAAAATGTAATTATGTCTTTGATGCTGGACTTCACATGGTGCTTCCCTCTCAGTGATTTGATTAAACTTCATAACATGTAATAGTTATAGCCAGTAAAGAAAAATAGAGAAGCCCAGTCAGATTATGTAGTCAGCTACTTTCTGACAAAGGAAAAAAAGACTGTTCTCTCTACTAATTAAGTAACCCTTTTTCTTTTGTTTTTTTATTCATGTTCAACAGCTTTCCCACAATAATATGCTTTTATGTTCATCTTTATATAAAAAGTGGATAAAAAAAAAACCCACACACAATTCAGCTAGTCAGAAATCGAAATATATGTAAAAATTTTATTTTTGGCTCCATTTTTGATCGAAACTAGACCAGGAATAAATTTTTAAGTCAATAGACGAACACCCAAACAAATCATTTTAGTTTACAAATCTCATCAAGGCTTCTCCACTTCTCTAAAGATTTCCATACAGACTTCCTCTCTGAGCGAGCTAGCTGTGGCTTCCTACCATTGTGTTGCCGTTCCAGTGTCAAACCTTTTTCATGCAGGAAGAGCCCAACTAAAGCCCATTTTCCTGCCAACATCAACAGCCACTGCTGCTATGGTAGCAAACTAAAAAGATCTGATTCATATGAACATCTAACTCCTTTTAAAGGGAAAGTTTAACTTCTGTCCTGGCTGCACTTTTTTACAGGTTACAAACAAAACTTTGAATGCATCATAATGGTGGTACTTGTGAATGACCAATAAACTGTAGGGCATTGTTGAGAGATGGGGCTGTATGGTATTAAAAGGTTTTCATATTAAAAGAAAATACAAATAGTTGAGTTTATCTGTAAACAGCCCTCCCTACTTTGATATCTACAAAAAATCCAATGAAACAAACATCAGTCAAAAAATATAATATAATTTAATTATGAATATAATGCCACATTTTCTCTGTTGACCTCACAAAGCCCTGTTAATGGAAAGACAATGGCATAATCTTGAAGCTCCGAGTGCACTGCAATCCAAATGACTTGACAGGTAAGGCAAGGAGAGCATTAATAAGAGGAGATGCCAGGACATTCAACATAGCTCTGGAGGAGAAGGGTAACTAGTACTTTGACACTCCACAAATCTATGGAAGAGTGACAAGATAGCCTAATTATAGAAGGAAACTGTCAAAAAAGTCCTGTCTAGAGGAGCTTAGGTCAGATGAGACCAAAATGATACTTATTGGCCCTCATACAATAAGATATGTTTGGATGAAAATGACCACTGCACCTTTACCTAAAAATATCCTCCCTACAGCAAAACATAGCAGTAAGTTGTGGTATATGTGCTGTGGGGAAGGTTTGTTTCAGCAAGATTTATGAGACGATGGATGGAACTAAATACAGAGTAAATCAGGAAGATAATTTGTTTGAAGCCATAAACGATTTGAGATTAGGTGGAGGGTTTGCTTAAATGAAGACAATTCCTCTTTGGGCCAAAGGTAGAACAAATTATTTTGGTTCAAAATATATTTTTGTGTTTCAACAATCTGACCAAAGCCCATTCCTAAATTTAAATCAATCTTTGTAGGGAGAATTATCTGAAGATTACTTTTTAATTTCTCTTCAGCAAATCTGACAATCCTCGACTTGTTTTTCAAAGAAGAATGAGCTGATTGTTTATATTATAGTTGCTCAACACTGGTAAATATATATCTCAGGACTTAAAATTTTAAAAAATGCAATAGCAGCAAAAGGTGGATCAATGAAATACTGTCTCAGGTTAACTAAATATAAATTCACACAACACATTTCAAAATTTGCTTCGTATAGACTTTTAAAACCAAGCATTATTTACTTTATTTTATAGTGCTTTTAACCAAAAACCAAAACATTACACAACATTGAAGTTAGGAGTTTCATCGTGACCAAATTTGTGAAGGTAAACAAAAAAAAAAAAAAAACTAAAGGTTTTATTAGGGACTCTATATCCTGCACCATATTTCTTCAAATAGAAACAAGGGCAAATATGAGGAGTAGTGGCCTTTGCAGCTGTGTGTGAACATGTGTACGAGGTTTAGAAGGAATCCTTCATAAATCGCAGTAAACAAGTGAGGTTCACCATAATCCTCAAGATCAACACCAATAGCTTCACCCACATCAGCCTGCTTCAGGAAAGAAAGTCTGCCGTCAAAGTGGCACTGATTAAGATTAAGTCTACTTCCTGGAATTGAAAGCTATAAAATATAGCTTCAGAGTGGGAAAAAAGGCAGAGAGAGGGTGGGGGGAGAGATCCCAGTCCAGCGCACAGCTTCAAAGGAAACCTTCAGAACAGTGATGGAGCACATGGGAGAACAAACCTCCTGCCAGGCAAGTCCAGCACATTTAGCTCCAGTTAACTAACGTTGAATAATGTAAAAGGGTTTTATCATCACACTTTTCTTTAATTCTGGATGTGCTTTAAACTTTTGTTCAAAACACACAAATCAGCTTTTATAAGACTTATTTGTTTTTAAAAACAACAGCAAAATCAAAGTAAATGAAAAAAGCAACTCTTCACTTCAGCTGTTTAGCTCACATTAACGTATATGTAGGGCTGCAACTATCGATTACTTTACAAATTGATGAATCTGTCGATTATTTATTCAATTAATAATCAAATAGCCAAAGGTTCCTTAAAGAAGATATTTTACAAAATCAAACCAAGTGAAACTAAAACTTTTCCACTTGAGGAGTGTGAGATAGAGCATAGTGACAGATTTTATATAAATGCTAAATTTTTAGTTATTTTTTGGTACAATTTTGAAATAATTACTGCTATAATTGGGTCGCTCTGTCAACTAAAAGCATGTTTTAGAGTCTCTATACTTCATTTAACGATAAATTGATAATGAAATCAGTTGACAATTATTTCAGTAATTGATTAATCATGACAAATCCAATTAATTTTTTCAGTCCTACATATATGGCAATGGCTCTCAAACTGTAAAACACTCATGACGCTTGGGCTGGTTTTAAGTAGTACTCAGAAAAAGTTCTGCTACAATTTACTTACTAAGAAGAATAGAACTGAATGTGCTGTGGTGCAGGAGGAGTTTTTAAAGCCCATTAACTCTTGGTGGGTCATAAACCTCCAAAGAGAGAAGTGCAGGAGAGAAAACTTAAAGCCCTCAGAGTGAATGACTGAACTCTGATCTATATATAAAACAAATAATCCAACTTAACACAGTTTAACTTTAAGTTTAAGAAAAATTCTGGAATTTGATGATAAGTAGGAAATTAAACCTAAAGTCATTAGCAAAACAGATTTCTCAACTTATTTCTAAGCAAGTTGTATATTTAAACATAGTTTACAGTATGAGTCAGAGATTTTATTCAATGCACCTTATCTAAAGTGGAGATATACTGCTTTTACTTTACTGTTTCTACCACTTTTACAAAGCTGTACAATATGTAAACTAGGGCTGGGTATTTTCGCCAAAGTCCCGAATCGATTCGATTTTGATTCATACAGTTCTAAATCGATAAATTTCGATTCAATCTGTTTGTACAATAACGAAAATGGTCCAACTGTGTTTTAAAAATACTCATGTATTTTGTTTTTTTCCTGTCACATTAAATACAAAGTGCAAACTTGTAAATCAGACACTCTAAACATGAGATGTGAACAAAACTGTCTCAAAAGTGCAAACTTGTTTGTGAAAAGTGAAAAAGTGAAGCAAGCAGACGTGACACAGCAGACATGCATGAGCTGCATTATCTTCACTACACAAGCCATATTTGCAGCGCTGCCTGTAACAACTACAGGGTTTTTCTGGTAATTTGTTAATGTCTTCAGTGAACCTACTGGGTATATTTACAGCTGTCTGGCTTGAAGTAATCTTGAGTGCATCTTTCCTGCTTATTTCAATGTGAACGTCACGCGGGTCACTATAAAATGAATCAATCTCCTTCCCTAGAGATCGATTTTGCAAAAATTTTAAGGAATCGATTAAATACATTTTTTTACCCAGTCCTAATGTAAATTTGTAATTTTGATTTCACAATGGATTCAGAACACTGTGTTGGTAGGAAACCTAAGATTTACAGTTGTAATTCGGATCTCTCAAGATCTTTTATGTTTTTTCCAACGTTTGAAACAGCAACACACAATGAAACAATCAACAAACTGAAATTGTCTGCAGTCCTGATCTACTACATTTTTTTATTAAGTCAATCACTTTAGATCTGTATCTGAAATGTCAAACACCAATAAATAAACAGGAAATAATAAAAACAAAAATTTAAAAGGACACATACTAATATCAGATGCTCCAGTCAGATTTAAGGAGAAACCAAAATATTAAGCATGAAATTATAGGTTAATTAATTTCTACTAAAAAGGATAGGAATACATATCTTCACTGTTATAGGGAGTAGTTATAAAGTTTGGTGATAAAGGTAGAAATTTCCTGCAACCTTAAAAAGAGCCAAAAATATCTGTAATTAAATCAATTAATTAAAACTGTAATTGAAAACACATAATAAACCAAACCTACAAGAATGAAAGATTATTTTCTATAACGTTCCCAGTCTGATCGGAGACAAAGTATCTGAGCAGCACTAACTTTCTGAATCCCTGAATGAACCTGAGCTGTTTTCCGGTGTCAACAACACTCACCCGGATCCGTCTCATGGCAGCAACAATCTCCACTCTGCTGTTTGGCCGCGTCACATCCAAACTGCCAATATACTGCCGCATGAAGGTGAAACATGACAGGTACAAAAGCTCCGTTAATGACATCACAATTATTGTCTACCTCCCCTAAACATTTGACATTATTTGCATTCATTACTTCACTGCTCATAATTTTGGCCCCCGTTTTAAACTCATGGATTACTTCCCTTTGCAGCTAAATCTCTGAGGATCTGGATTCAAAAAGTCTTCAAATGTGCTTTCGATCATCAGTTGTTAATGTTTTAACTATGTTTTAACTCAATACGATTGTGAGCACTGCCTGTTTCACTTTGAAAGAGTTGTGAAAATTCACCTTTGCCTCGAAGTTGATCCCATGCTGGAATGCTTCCTCGTTGTGCAACGGGATCCTCAGATCGTGTCCATCATCAACCAGGTTGTATTTGGTTTTCCCAGGCATTTTTCCTAATGCTTAAATATCCTCACTATAGGAAGCACCCAGGAATTGAAGACAAGCAGAGTGGAAAAACATCCAAGCAGAGAACAATCCGAAAATGCGCTCAGTGCGTGTTTTCCATAGCAGCTATGCGTCCCGAGCGCAGCGACGCACAGACGCCGCTCCAACTGCAGCCAAACCGGCAGGGAGAACTTGAGCAGCGCGCCGGTAAACTGCAGGAAACGCTTTGGGAACACATGCAGGCCAAGGCACGCAGCGTCAGATGCGTTTTCCCGACTTTTCCTGAGCTCAGTGTGGAAGTTGGTCGTGTCCTGCCTCCGGTTGTGGACTTCTGCTCCCTCCTCCCTGCTCCGCAGCGTAGGGAGGGTTTGATTGGAGAGTCCGGGAGTCCCACCTGTTTCCATTGGAACAGCGGCGCACGGTGGCCCTGCTGGAGGAGTGGCTCTAACCCCTTGCTCACACTGGCTCCGGTGCGGTTACCGAGCCGACGGAGACCGCAACTCCCGCACACCCCCTCTCACACCGCCCTTTTGACTACGGTGCGGTGCGGCTCTGCGGCTCCGGCAACAGGTCCGGAGATTTAACAGAAGTTCACTTGAGTTCACGTAAGTTCACGCGATAACACGGCCCAAATAAAGGATTTTTGCGAGAGCTTGTTGCGGAGGGCTCCGGCACGCCGCAAGGATAGCTTTCTTGCGGAATTTTCTGCAGCGCCGGAGTGTCTCGGTAACCGCAGCCGGACAGCTCAGCAGCCGGTGAGAGAGGTTTACGTCTTTTTAATGACTTGGAATCACTGCGGTGCCGTACCCACCGCACCGCAACGGTAAGACCGGAGTCGGTGTGAGCCGAGGGTAAGTCCTGTACCTACCCCTCCTGCTCCGGTCTGCCATCTCTTCCGCTTACATATGCACACGTACACGAATACACGGCTGGGAAAAACAGAAACCTGAATGAAAGAAGTGGAGTTCTACTCTTTATCCAATGTTTTTGGTTTTTCTATTGAGATGCAGCCTATTAAATAAAAACTATTAACTTTTTTTTTTTTTTGCTCTATCTCTTTGTTTGCTAATTTATAGTAATAAATGAAAATATATAAATTGATGTGAGAGGAATATTTGCAAATTTAAATACAGCTTAGTTTGATCCAATTTCTTGAGGTAAATAATGAGGGTTGAATTATTACAGAAAAGGTCCTGCACATCTGGGGGACATTCAGCAGCGCAAGGCTGCCAACTATTGGTCAAATCTGATATTAAATTCTTGAATCCATCTACGTTTTATCAAATTTTTATAGAGCAACTGTTGGGCCAACTACTAAAGTAAATCAAAATAAACCATTGAAAAGGTAAAAAAGATCAATGCAAAAAACTGGATTTAAATTGTTTAGATTATTGCTTTGCTGGATTTCAAACAAATTGTTTGGGTCAAATGTTGCCTCTTGAAGTCATACATCTGTAAAGAAAAGAAAAATCCCCTTAATCTTGAACAAGTTTTGCATAACTAGAAGAAAGGCTGCAGTAAAGGGTCAAAAGTGGGGCTTTTAAATATATCATGTTTCAAAATTGTATTATTTGAAATGAATTCTGTTCATTTGGAATTCATATTAAAAGTTTAATCAGCTGGAGGGTGAAATTATTGTTCATGACAAAGCTAACAAAACATACTCCTTTATTTTTAATGACAGAAATACATGATAGCCTGTCTGATACAGTCATTAATATCATAAAGTTTCACTTGTTAAGGTGGAGCCACTTGGTTTGGAATCCCGTGCAAAATGTATTTGTTAACTTTAACACATTTCCTCACCTTGAAACCACTAACAATGTATTTTATTAAGACTTGAAGTGATATATTGCCACAAAGTAGCACACGTTTGTAAGGATGTAATAAATGCATGGTGTATAAGGGTTACATATAATATATACATATTACCAATAATGTGGCATGCATTTACTGTCCCTATTTCTAAATATTTATTTAAATATTTTTTTTGCTCAACACATCTTACCATCAACTCTTAACAACCTCTGTTCGGCTGAAAAAGAGTATGCCCACAGGAGGATACTGCCATGGCCATACCATGAGTTGGTACACTGAGGGGTTTAGCCATAATTTTCAATTCAATTCAGTTTATTTATATAGCGCCAAATTCACAACACATGTCATCTCAAGGCACTTTACAGTTCAACCAGATCATACAGTCAAATTGATACAAAGTTTTCTATCTAAGGAAAACCAGTTGATTGCATTGACTCATTGACTCAAATACAATCCCTCACACTAAGCATGCTTGTAGCGACAGTGGAGAGGAAAAACTCCCTTTTAACCAGAAGAAACCTCCAGCAGAACCAGGCTCAGTGTGAGCGGCCATCTGCTGAGGCCGATTGGGGTTTAAGGAGACGGAAGCAGAGACACAAAAAGCAGCTGTAAATGGCGGCCCCGTCCAGGAAACACACAGCCAGGCAGACGAGCTCCGAGCCAGCTCCCATGCCAGGGGACGAAGAGAGCACATCCACCCAGTCACAGGACCACACTGAAAACAGGCCGATCTCCAACATAATAATACATTCACTTAGTTTGCATTTTGACCATAAAGTAAGAACGTTGTCTCATGTGACTGTTGCACTTTTTTTTCCAATGTCTGCAGTGCTCCATTTTACTTCTTTGGTCCATGTTCATGGGTTTCAGGGCAAACTTTTTAATGCTTTAGGTGTTTTCTTATCTCCATGCACCTGCTAATATCACTGTTTCTGTCAGGTATGCGACAGGAACACAGCCAAACCATGCTGAACACTGTAGAGTGAGGATTTGGGGTCTGAACAGCTGCTTTTGGAAAACTACAAATGGGGTTACCACTTGTCTCTGAGATGCTTTAATTCTAATTTTCTTTAAAAATCTGTGTTTTATTTTATTTTATTTAACCAGGAAGATCTCTTTTCTTTTATGTCTTCATGAATGCTTTCATTCATAAGTATGTCTCTAACAAATGTCTAAGAATGTACTTGCATTTATTTTACACCGAGAATAAGGTGTATTGTTTTTTTCTATTACGTAATATCCTAAGTTAACTGGATATAATGCCTTTGATTTAGTTACATCAGAGTAGAGGTAAAAAAAAAAAAAGTTTTCAGCACAGTAATATTGCCTTTTCATGAGGAAAGGCACAGAGAGATGCTTAACCATTAGGAATAAAAGCATCATCACTGGAGGCATGGACTGACGTGGTCAGTAGAAAGAGTAAAGCTCAGTTCACTGCAGTCATGGTTTGCAACGCAGCAGTCAAGCTTCTTTCCCCATGAGTAGAGATGCTGTACTCCCTGTGAGGTGGTCCCAGGCGGTTAGACAAGGGGAACTAGGTTGGAATAAATTCACATTCTTACCACCACTTTGGAAGGATACAAAGCACTGCTTCTAATAACATCCTCAGGGGTGAAGTAGCGGACAACTGGGCCTTTAGGCAGTCATCTTAGAAGTTTCATCCAGTTACCAATTATAGCTTTGATATTTCTGCATTTTAAATTTTTTTGGAAGCACATTAACTCAAATTAAAAGAACTAGGATGATTCATTCGATTATGATTCATCACTTAGCAACAGAATTTTTAAATTATCCATGTGGGTGTTTGTATATTTAAACAGGGAAAACAAAGTTTTTGTGAGACAACCTCCAAGGTTAAAGTGATAAAGAATTAAGTTTGTATATAAAGAGATATGATCATCTTCTCTTAGACCACACACACCTTTAAAGAGGGACCCAAAAGTATCCTTACCCTTGAATATATTCTTACTTTAATACTCTACAATGACACAGATCACAGATTTTATTTTCCATTTAATGTGATGGGCCACCATAACTTAGAACATAATTGGGACGTTTAATTTTTTTAAAAGCAAGCATTTTTTTTGCTTTACTACATGCTATTTATGATGAGACACATCATAAATGCATTTGGTTAGAGAAGACCAAAATTAAACCTTTAGGATTAGACAGTAATACATGGTTTTGGCAGCAGTGTGCTTGGGAGATCTGTTCATTTAGATGGAAAAGGGAAGCTGAATGTTGCTAAATGTATGACTTTCCAGTCAGAACACCTGTTAGAGGTTTGTTAATATCAAAGTAAACACATTGCTATGATATTTTGGAAATCACTCAATTGAAGTCCAGATCTAAGCCTAAATAACTATTTGTTGTATAAATGTATGTGAGCATTTCATATGGCAGAAGTGCTAAAAAGAAATATGTCTCATCATGTGTTATTGGGATATCATGCAGCTGTTTTACAGTGAAAGGTTGTTCTACAGAATTTTGACTCTTAGTGCTAGAACATAAAAATACATCAAACCTCTAGATTTTCAATTTTTTATACTGATTTTTTCATCTGTGGGGCTTTTCTGTTAGCTTTACTGTAATGTGCAACTTTTTTTTTTGCACAAAGTCCTATTAAAAACAATGAAAACTGTGGAAAACATTTGATTGGTTAAAGTGTTATTTAAACATTCACAGGTTAATATAAATAAAAAATGTAAAAAATAAAATAAAGAAACATTGTACTTTAGGCTTAGTATTTAACCCTGATGGTTTTAACCTTTCCCATCTTTTGATGGCAAATAAGCTTAGAAGCAGACAGAACAGCTGCTGTCTCTGCATGAGCAGTTAGTACAGAGTAAAGCCAGTCACCCTGCACAGCAACCCGGTGTCTTCCTATGGCTTTTTTGAAAGCATACAGTGTAAATGAATCCTGTCCACTTTATCCAACACATGGCTCCCTGTTGGATGTTGGCTTTTAAACCTTGTAAGTCAGGCTGCGCTGATTAGAGTACAGCCTAAGCAGGGTTCCATAGCAATGCCAAAGGGGGGCAGACCTCATGCAGCTACAATCAGCAGAGAACATTTGGAGTGTGTACTTTAAATCTATGATGTATTCTTAGAAGACCAAACTTTCTTTACATCTACAATTCTTAAGAATGTTATATTGAGTCAACAGATAAAAGTTCCAGAAGGTTAAACCCAAACATTCCTCTTCCTATTAAACCCAGACCAGCAGTTTATCCTGAGTTACCCACTGATAATCTTCAAAGGTAATCCTCCTATCTTCATCAGATGCTTAAGCCACTTTAACTGACTCTATGTTAAATAACAAGGGGGGAAAAGTGTATGAGTGGCAAGGAAAAAAAAAAAAAGGTTTATATGGATTCTTTTTTAAATAGAAAAAAAGGGAGGGCTTCTATTTCAGAACATTCACTAATATTTCTCAAGGACAGTGGAGTGAATTTTGAAGTGAGTCATGCCGTTTATAAAATGCCATTTCATTTATTTGACGCTTAAGGCTGAATGACAGACAAACAAGCAACAAAGCTAAAACTTTGAAATAGGTATTTGTCCAGAGATTTAAACAGGTAAAGAGACAAAG